GTTATGAAGACTTATAAGTGTCATTAAGTAATTGTTGGCGCCAAAAGCACCCATACGTGTCAAAAGAGTGGTATAAAGTGTCGTAAGTTGGCATAAGGTGCGAGAGCGTCATGAGGAGTCACGTTACGTCACAATGGTTCGTGTGATTCCGAAAAGTTTTATAAAGTGCTTTTAAGTGCCATTATGTCTGATAAAATGCCATTAAGGCTATTAAGGGTCGTATAAGGTCCTAAGATGTGATGCACGATGAAAAATTACTATGAAGTGTCAGAGGTGTCATGAAGTGTCCTAAGTTGTCATAGTGTCCTAGTGTCCGTAAGTGTCCTAAAGTGTCATGAAATGTCCTAAAGTATCATGAGTGCCGTAAAGTGTTAAAATGCCTTAAAGTGTCAAAATGTCCTAAATTGTCAGTGGCCTAAAGTGTCATGAAGTGAACTAAAGTGTCAGTGTTCTAAAGTGCCATAAAAGCCATATAATTTCATAGTTATAAAGTGTCATACGGTGTCGTAAGGTGTTGTGAAGTCTCTCAAAGTGTCGTAAAGTGCCAGTGATTCCGTAAAATGTCGATAAAATTCCCAAAATGTTTTAAAGATTCGCAATGTGTCGTAAAGTGTTACAAAGTGTTTTATACTATCGCAAGATGTAAAGTTTGTCAAAGAGTACAGCAAAGTGTCGTCAAGTGCCATGAGGTGTCATAAAGTGTCAAGACGGTGCCAGGGCTTCCGCAACCACCAGCACAAGGTAACTACTAATACTACTACTGTTGTGTTCTTGACATATTGAACAAGTTGTCTTAGTCATCCATTTGGCATAAACTAATGCTTAAGATCATTGGTTCTGCCTTAGTTATTCCGGTAAGTTAAGTGTGAATAATCATATAGGTGTGTGTGGGGGGAGGGGGGATAGCTGGTCGGTCATCTTAACTGGATTTTTCCTTTTCTTTTTTCCAGGTAAGTGCGAGTTAAAACAGCTTTTCGAGGGACAATACCACACCATATCTCAGGTACGTCCAAGTTATCATATTTATTGATTGTCGTTTTATTCATCAGCTAAGTCTGGAGTCTTTCCCATCCCGCAACAGTTTTAAAAGGAATGTTACACTTTCTCCTCCATCTTTGAGGACATCGGTGTCCCTCCCTTATCAATGAGACAACTATATGTCCCACTTGTTCACGCTGAAGTCGGACCCGTTCCCTATCCTTACACCGTCTTTGTGGTCGCCTCTGGTTCCGTCTCTGTCTATATGAAAATCTCCCCCTTCCCTCCTACCTTCTTGCCGTCAGAGCCTCACCTCTTCCATTTAAGTGGGTACAGTGATCACACTCACATTTTTTAGAGGCATCCGTATCTCTCATGGAAGTTCTTGCTACACTGAGATAAAATGGCCCTCGCCATGCTGTCATGATTTCATTATCCTGCTTTACAGGTTATTAGTTAATCAGCTTCATGTTTTGGAGGCGTCGTGTCCTCGCTATCAGCTGTTCATTCGTCAAACAGGTCCCATCCCTAATTGGTAACAACCTAACCGAACCATTAGGATTGGAGCTTAGTAATTAAGTGTCCCAATCCTAGTAAGTACTATTTCCAATGGATCCCAATTTTAATGGGCTCCAACCGTAATGCTCAGGATCGTAGTGCCTCACACTTACAGAAATGTATGCGATCTACTCCCAAACAAATCTGAGAGAAAAATTCGACAAATATTCGAAGATGAAATAACAAAAATTTTCATTGTTTTGACTGATTGTATTGAATTCAGAGAGATGTAATGTTTTATTTGTTACTGACTGTTGTGTCTGGACTCTGAAATAAATATAGCTCGCCTAGATTTAAATTTAATTACAGGAAGACACAATGACCAAGAAAAAGAGATGTGCTAGGCAGGCGGGCCCTCGTCAGTGTCACTATCATTTTCTCCGTTTATCTTTTTAAATCTGCGAAATCTGCATCGTTGTTTTCACTTTGAACAAACCATAATAAGCATCTGGTGGCTGGCTGTATGGGTTGTAACTTGTCTTGTATTATTCACAAGACAAGAAACGACAAAAATTATGATTAAGCCTGTGCGTCGTTCAACCTGAGTCAGGGCTGAATTTTTTCCTTGGTCTTACATTGTTCCTGAGGACTCCTATACCACTGATCATACCGCTTGAATGTACAGGACATAGACCTGTAAATGTTTTTTATTATTTCTTTATTGTAGGTCACTTAACTCAACTTTGATTCTACACGCGTTACATATGATTTTTGTTTTCAAAATTAACTTTAAAGTTAGTAAATAAACCTTTGTGTGACTATAAACTAGTGGAAAAAATCAGACATATTTGACTTGAAATTTAATAAATCGAAGGCAAATTAAAAATTTCTGTCAGTGGACCTCAAGGGCGCTTAGGATTAAGGTCTTTTTTGGTAGAGAACTATTTGCTCTTTAAATTTTTGGTGTTGGCTGTCACAGCTTGTCATAAGAGACCAATGTTTTCGGTAAGTTGGGTCTGTCCTCCAGTTTTAGATGTGTGGGAGTGTCCTCACACTCACGGACGTCCTCACACCTCGGGAGCGTTAGACCTCCTCCTCGGGGTTTAAGAACATCAGAGTATTTTTCGATGTAATTTTTAAGGATGCCACGTTTTCCTCAGCTTGCATCAAACACCATATATTTTTTTTTAAGTTTTCGGAAGATAGAAAGTCGTTCATTTCATTTTACTTTGTTAACATGCGTTAATTTTTTTTTTTCAATATTCCTCCCGGACCGAAAGTTTTGGGGATATACAGTACACTGAGTGTACAGTATAGCAATGACGCTGTCCATCCTTCCGTCAGTTCGTTCGTCCGCTATAGATTTCGTATCCACTCGGTAACTCGCCACAGACTTGATGGATTAATTTCAATATTAGTGTGAGAGCGTAAATTATGGGCAGTACTGGACGTTGTTTTGGGGGGCAAACTACTTAAAATGTTTCTTATTTCTTTCGTAAGGTTTTAATGAATTAAAAATTAACAGGATTTACGGGAATGAATGAAGCCACTTTCAGTACACAAGTAAAATAAAATGTTAATGCTGACTAAGTTCCAGGGAAGAAATGGGAGCAAATACATTTTAAAATGGTTAACACAGAACATTATTGAGTTATATTCAGCCAACAAGCCACTGTGGTATGAAGGCCTAGCCCGGAAGAATAAGGCCCTATCCCAACTAGGTGTAAATACGGCGATTATGGTTACTGAGTGTCGTAACTGTAAGGTTGGTATTGGTATGGTTTACCACCATCACAGCCCTACCTTAAGGTCATATCATTGAATGGAGAGGTTGAACCTTTATCTTCTACAATCTATTAAGGGTATTTAGGATATCTAATGAACTAACCCTAACACCGTCATGGTTTTCGTAAATATCAACATTGTGTCAATTCCCAATTTAGACACTTACACCAGACATCCATCACCACTCCACTGGGTGTGTTTCACAGCAACACTGGAACGCGAGTGTAAGCAAGTGGTCATAACTCGATCCAATCCAGTTTCACCATTTTGACACCAAATGAATATCTTATTAATGAACGAACTTTGTGTAACATAGAATAACATAACGTTTAATTATATTCATAATACTACTCTATTACATTAATGAGGTTTTTATTTTCAAAGTGATAATGAAATGTGTAATCTCTAGTTCATTATATTTGGAGTAGAAGAGCACAATTTAGACTTTTACATTTTCTCTTCGTTATTATTCCTACCACCACCCATTTGGAAAAGGGTATTAAAAAACATTTATTTTCTCCAATTTATTAGTAGACTGTGCAGCCTCCCTCCTCTATTACGGCCTGCAGTCTTGACCTCATCTTCCCGGCGTGGTTCCCAACAAGGTCCGTGTCGTGTGAGAAATTGAATCCCAAAAATTTGTCGATCGGGTTCATGTCTGCCCTTTTGCTAGACCAGTCTAACAGGTGGAAGGTCTCCTGTGTGAGGAACCACTGCTGCACCAGTCTAGCTGTGTTGACGGAGTAGCGATCCTGGACGAATATTATGGGGCCGGGAGGGAAGGGAAAATTCCTCTCCCGGAGAAAAGCGCTAAAAAAAAATTATTAAAGATGTTAACATATCTTTCGTCACTCAACCGTCCCTGAATCCCTGTGACGTACCCGACGCTGTGGAGAGTGGTCCACCCTTACTAGGCCGCCCCGGTGTTCATTTATATTGCACCGATCATAATAATGGGTAGACCCTTTATCACTTTGCTACATATTCTTCGCTTTCATGTCAAATTATGATTTGTTATTTATTGCAAATTATGTGGGATTTCATAGAAGTAATTTGATGCGTAGTTTACAAAATTAACCACGTTACAAATGTGACTTTATGGGTATATTACCTTGTGTTGGGTAAGCTATCTTGTGGGTTTTTTCGGCGCCACACATAGATACGGTCATGGTTATTTGGTTATTGGACGAAAAATTTTTTCGTCGGTGAACAAACACTACATATTTCCTCAATTCCTCTAGTTTATCGACAAACTGTTGCTGAAGGCGAGCCTCGGGGCGCGGTGGGCGTCTGTCAACATCTCTGGTCAATGCTCATTGGTGGAATATCCTATGTAAATGAGCAGTGACTTGTTTCGAAGCTCCAACATCATGTTGTATTATTCTATCATGTTCGTAACTTAAGCAAATGCCTGGATAGGTTTTAGAAACAGAAAGAAAATACAGTTTTAAAATGTATTTATTCATACTAACGTGTTCGGGAGTAAGCGTTCACTTTACACCTTGGCTGACCACCTATTAATTACCTGGTTTGTGTATTTCTGGAGGTGGGGTGAGGAGGGATGCACCCAGCGAAGTTGCCGATTAGAATTCGAGGCTGCCAGTCTGTGTGGCTTATAATTGGCGTGGACTGTACAGTCACCCAAAAAAGTCCTGTCGCGAACCATGAACCCCGAGATTCAGACTCTTGAATCCTAAGCATTTATGGACAAAATAATGTATCAGTGTCTACTGCTTCGGGTTCACGAGTCTGAATCTCGGGGTTCGTGGTTCGCGACAGGACTTTTTTGGGTGACTGTACCTAATTATTCCTGGATCTGTAAATAATATATTAGTAGTACCTGCAGATGACACCTTAGCTTCATGGAGTAACTGTCCTCCCATCCTCGAAGTATAAATGAATTATTAATTTGTAAACCCATCTCCTAAGACACGTGATACTTGAAGGATGTAGATGAAATAGTTAATTGAGGCATAGTTAGCGGTCCTTACAACAAGTGTGTCCCATACTGCTGCACTGGTCTCTCTCAGCATCAACAGGTGTGTCCTAAATTACTGGTCTCTCACAGCATCTACAGGTGTGTCCCAAACTCAGGCAGCTGCAGCCTGCTATCCATACACCTAGAAGAGTTTGACCGTCGGAGGTGTTGTGTCTGCTCGTTAGAGGCGATCCACGGCAACTTTGCTGTTTCCTGTTCGATGGAAAATATTTTTTCCCACCGATGAGTCGTCTGTAATTTTTGGATATTACAGTACAAGCTGTGCCGAATTTTGGGAGTGCGAATCTTCTGTTATCTATAAGAAGGTCCTTCTACACCTGGTGTTTATTCGTATGAAACAAGTAAACTCCAGACAAACAGAGTTCCCGGTGTAAAGGTAAAGCTGCATTACACTATCAAACGGTTTCAAAGGGGTTGAATGACGACGTGAAGGGAATGTCAGATCCGCGTAACAGCTTCGACGTGTTGAAAACCGATGCAACACGTCTGTTTCTTGGTGGTGTTTTATTTTACATGTTTATGCTGGCGATTAAGAAGGTGTGAAGGCAGTATTATCTGCTGGGTACTCTGTATTCACGTCATCAGAATTCAGCGTTTTGGGGAAATTTAATTTTCTTTCAAAACCTGTACTTGATATTTGTGGTAGTAAGTCTTTATCTACTGTTCTGTGATAATATTTATACCGCCAAACGATATTAATATAGTTACTAGAAATATATTGCCTTTGTGTTACTGTGATGGAATTACGAGTCAACTTATAGTTTGAAGTGTTTGAATAAATCACTAAAAGGTCTTAGTCCCCATAGCATGAATTTACACGACGCTCTCCTTCTTGTTAGTCATGAGAGCAACGCCGGACTCGGGGTCACGGATATGATGATCGCGCCTCAGAGAGCGACGTTGTGCTGGAGTGGGTGGCCTGTGGGAATATTCTTGTCCTGTTGCTCCTGAAGAGGGCGTCCAAGAGGCTTGTTTTTGTCCGGTGGTTGCTGAAGTAGACGTCCAAGAGGCATGGTCTTGCCGTATGGCTCCCGGGGAGGTCGTCAATGCGTCATGTTGCTGATGTAACTCCTGTTGTTTTTTTCTGTGAGTCCTCTTAGATTTATGCATGTTACGTGCGTCTGTGTGAGAGTACGTGGGGTAGCAGAGGCGGGTGTGAGTGTGTTGCTGAGGGTCGAGGTATTCAAGCTTGGGTGTGGTGGTGGCGCCCCTCTGTAGCAGAGCGGTTTGTTGCATATCCCCGCCACCAACTGGCTGCAGGGAACGGAAAATAAAACTGTGATAAGTGTGATAAGATACCTGATACTGCAGCTACCAGAATGAGAGACTCTGGTTTAATAGCAGACACAAAAGAAATAACCCTTTGTCTTACCAAAACAATGTGTTCAATGATCTTCTGAAAGTAATCTCGGCTAAATTGGAGGGTATTCCATGCTACAATACTCACCAGTTACCACAGCGATCTCGTAAATGGTATTGAAAAACTTAAAAGAATTATCGGGAAAAATGTCAAAGTTTTCATTGTAAAATAACTGTACAAGATAAATCTAACCATATTATGGGTGTGGGTTACTGGAATACTTTGTTATCTGATGATGATTTTGTTGATGTTTTATTGTGGATTAATCTTGGTTCTGACTGTTTTATCTTAAACACCAACACCGTACATCTGTATATGTATATAGACTTATAGGTCGATTAGAGACCATAGCTCATCTTAGACAAGAAACTGATCGAGAATTATCATGCCACTGCTCGCCATGTGCATGTTCACTAAATGACGAACACATGTGGTCACTACAGCTTAACTACTTCATTATGCTCATTGAATTGCAGCACATTTTCAGTATAGTGTTACACTTAAACTAATAGTGATAAACGCTCATAACAACACAAGCACTAAATGCCCATCACAGCTCCGGTCCTACAAGTGCTAACCTTAAAGGTCCTGACCCCAGAATCAATAAGGAGGTTCCAGTAATCCAAGATATTTTATGTGTAAACTTTCACAATGACAAACACAATATATTGAGTTGTTGTGAGGGAACAAAAAGTTGTCTTTATAGCCTAAAAGTGATAACCAACTTCACATTTCCTAAGATAATATTCATGTTTACTTTCGTTATTTCGAGCTAAAACAAAATAAATTCAACCATCCTGCGCCATTGTGTTTACAGGCCTGGCTAAAGTATTGTGTGTGTGTATATATATATATATATATATATATATATATATATATATATATATATATATATATATATATATATATATATATATATATATATATATATATATATATATATATATATATATATATATATATATATATATATATATATATATATATATATATATATATATATATATATATATATATATATATATATACATTTCAAAATTTTGAGCTAGCCTGTACATATACAGTAGATGGTGATGAAGATAAATATAATACTTACATTAAATTAATGTTATCAGCAAGAACATTTTCTCTCCTCAATTTAGTTAAATATTATCATTATTAAGATAGCGAAAGTCATCGTTAAGGAAAATATTACTTTTCACTATTAAACAATAGTTTTCATGAATATTTATCAATGAAGCAGAAAGTTATCTACAGTATATGTCCTCAGTCACGTGTGTTTTATGACTTAATTTAACAACTATACCAAAAGACATATCAGAGCCAAAGTAATTCTTTGCGCCACAAGAGGCTTGAAAAATGTAGCTATTCAACAGGTATTTAGCTGTTGTCTGGGGGTACGGGGAGGGAGGATGCGTGGGAGGAGGGGGAGATCATTAGTAACCAGGTGGCGCTAATGATAATAGAAGTGGTTTCATAGTCAATAGGCAATTAACTAGATTAATTAGGAGCCTGTGTCGACCACAGGGGGAGAAGTGAGTACTGATATATATATATATATATATATATATATATATATATATATATATATATATATATATATATATATATATATATATATATATATATATATATATACACACACACACCTGGGGATCATGGAGTTGCAGGGTTTGTTTTTCAGGGGCAGTTCATGGCCTTGGTCCGTGACTACACTATCAACTACACAATCAATTTTTGACAGGCGTTGACCCACTCCAGGCCGGTAGAGGGTGATGGTAGTAAAGGAAATGTTTTCGTACTCAATGACTCATCCCAGTTTTCATGAATTCTCTCTCTGGCGACCAAGGACTGTTTCTTTCCAACAAATCATTATATTAACGCATTTTTGTCTTTCGTGAAACTATATGGTTATAAGAACGCCGAGCTGTATTTAAACCACTACTCTATAGATGACACGTAGCTGAAACATTTTTGTCTTTAATCCGACCAATTAACATACATACATCACTGCAGTCAATTCACCTCTGAGTGTGAACTTCCATTTCTAGACACCAAGAGAGAAAGATCAAAGAGTGCCTTCACTATCATGTACAGGAAGTCTACGTACACAGGGCTCACTACTTCAGCTATTCCTTTACAATACGAAAATGAAACTTAACTTCCACTTTGGTGACCCGGGCATTTCATATCTACTTTAGTTACTCCAACTTACACATGGGACCACAATTCCTCGGCAGGACTGTAATGGCAAATGGTTTTCCTAAAATCTTCTTTGGCAAACAATTTTCACAACTCATACTCCCAAAGCAACCAACTATCACAGTTAACAGAGCAGCCAACTGCTTCCCTATTACATATAGCTAATGGAAGGAACAGTTTTACCCCCAAAAACAAACTCGCTAAATTATTACGTGAATTAATTATAGTCCCGGCTTCTTGTTAGACTAATTTTCATATCCGGTAAAACTATATAAGGATTTGACACTCAGGTAATTGCAGTCCTCTACTGTTTATTGTTATAAGTGTGATACTTGTAGTGGTGCAAACATTGTTTATTGTTATAAGTGTGATACTTGTAGTGGTATTAACATTGTTTATTGTTATAAGTGTGATACTTATAGTGGTATTAACATTGTTTATTGTTATAAGTGTGATACTTGTAGTGGTACAAACAATGAGAAATATAAGAGGAGCTTCCTGTGTTTTGTATACGAACTTAGCGATGATCGTGTAGAACTAGGCAACTATCCAAACCACGTTATTCAGCGAATCACAGGCATTAACTTGACCATCCATTACAACACTCTCCATTTAATATATATATATATATATATATATATATATATATATATATATATATATATATATATAGAGAGAGAGAGAGAGAGAGAGAGAGAGAGTTATTTTTTTACGTTTGGTCAACATTGTCCATCATCAGACTGGTGCAAATACACAGTTAACATGCAACAAATATTTACAAATCACAAAGCTGAAATTAATATTTCTTATCATATTTCAAAATTTATGTATAAATTAACTGCTCAATGCAAAATCAATTAATGTCAACTTTGTAACCAGTCAATATTGTTTTTATTATTTTGCCGTATATGAGATGGACAAAGTTGTTGAACACGTGCAGTATATTATGGGGACTGTCGACTTACATCATGATCGTCCTACTGTGAAGACGTGACAGTCAGCGGGGATGAAGTGTTAAGCAAATCACCTTAACCGTCTGTACTCGTAACAGTTTTTTATATGACAAACACGGCAGAAATTAACACGTGCCTTGTATTGTAGACAGTTAATTAAAAAAAATATATTTGATTCGGTATAACTTATCAGTTATAGCTTTCTTCATTACAAGTTTGTTTCCCGTCTTTCAAGCTGAACGAAATTCTCCCAGTGCTCGAGTACTGTACTTCAGTGAACAAGGAACTGAGAGGTTGTGAGACGTTCGGTTCTTCACCTGACTCAGGTGGTTCAGACTCCTGATGTTGTCCACAGCCTGAGGAGACTCTTTAAGTGACTCGGTTCACTCATCGTCCTCCTCAACGTTTACAGTCAGTTTAGTATCACTGAGTGAAGCCAGACCTGGCCGCTCGCTGTCTGTGACTCCTATCTTGTGACTCACAACTAAGCGTCCCTGATAAAGCAGTTAGCAGAACCCTGTGTTAACTTAAGCTTCACACCCTGCCATAGCGGCCAGCAGCCGCCGCCACATCCCTGCACCTGACACACTGCTTGGAACTTGCGTGTGATCTTAAACAACCTGGTTAAACCATATGACCTCGCACCGCCCAGCCGCCGCACCTGGCACATCGCCTGACACCATAGTGTGTCCCCAAACGACCAGATTAAACCAAATTACACCAATGTGTGTGACGTAGCCGAGTCAAGAACCTAAACCTTTAGACGAAGAACTTGATTATAAGCAAAGTGGTATTAAGATATTAATTCTCTCTCTCTCTCTCTCTCTCTCTCTCTCTCTCTCTCTCTCTCTCTCTCTCTCTCTCTCTCTCTCTCTCTCTCTCTCCCCCGGTGTGTGCGTGTGTCCGAGTTTATGTATATATACCCTTGATCGTGCATCATATTCCATGCGAGGGTAATCATGTGTGTGTTCTTGGGAAGTGTGTAAGTGTCTGCTCTTATGCGTGCGTGTGTGTGGTCGCGTTTTCATACAAGTGAATGTGCCTGTGTACGTAACTGCTCACGTTTATTACTGTGAAAGTGTATCTCTGTGTAATAGTGTTTGTTTACGTCTGCAAACACACAGAGACGTAACTGTGTGTGTGTGTGTGTGTGTGTGTGTGTGTGTGTGTGTGTGTGTGTGTGTGTGTGTGTGAGACCCCGTGCCTCCACCTGCTCAGGTATGCAAGAGGCACCACCGTCATTGTTACACATCACGAAAACAGCTTCCATAATCCCAGGCAGCGGCTCTAATTTGAGATTCATCAGTGAAATACGAGGTCGCCAACTCCAGATAGGTTTCCCTCTGCTCTGTAAATGGGTACCTGCCGTCCTGATGGCCCCCAGCCAGCTTCCGTGTCCGAACTCTCTGCACCTGTACACTATCTCTTTCTTCCTTACCGCTAATACGTATTGAATATACTAAATAACTGCTCCTAAGAAACAAAAAAGCACATTGGTTTATTTTAATTTATTGTAAAAATCGTTTAGTGGGTGGGAGTGGCGCAACATTTTTGTTATAACATTATGATTGACAGGAAGGGTTGAGACGGGTTAAGCACGACGACGTCCCGCCCTCTGTAGTAGGATTCCTGTCATTGTCTCTGTGGCTAACGATTCAGAAAATATATACCAAGGTTCTAAGGATTTCTCGTCAAGGCAAGTTCAAGGAAACCTGCTAAGAAATTTGTTCACCTTTGACTGGAAGTAAAAAGAAATGTTTTTTAATTTAAAGAAAAATTCTCAAGTATGAATGTTGTTATAACTTTTGACATCATGTGTGAATTATTTCAGAGGAAGAGAGAAAAGTAACTACTTTACCAGTTATTACGTTATCGAAAAAACTTATACTTTTGAAAAAGTGTAGAAATAGAATCGCAAAACTCTAAGGGCAAATTCAACATTCTTGAATGATATATGCAGTTTCTAGCAAGTAATCCGGCAAGCGAACATACACTTACACAAAGACACTCAAACACACAAAAACACACTCCAACTCGTCCCCTCCTCTCTCACCTGGTAGCCTGGGAGAACGTCGTAGGTGGAGACCAGGGAGGCCGAGCTGATGGTGGTGACTCGTTTCCCGTTCAACAAGGTCGAGTCTGTGGAAGAATGAAGCTGAGTTGAGCCTCAGAACTCCTGACATACCAGCTATGGTTGGGGGAATCATGTAATGGGTTGAGATCATCACATTGAGAGCTGAGAATATCATCATATGAGCTGGGAGAATTATACAGTGAGCTGGGGCCTGGGTATTATGCTTTAAGCTGAGAGTATTATGTTGTGAGCTAGGATAACTATATTGTGAGCTACCATATATTTCATGCGTGTGTGGTGTGGGCGAGACGTGTGTGGTGTGGGCGTGACGCGTGTGCATATATGGTGTGTGCGGACGAGACGTGTGTGTGTGTGTGTGTGTGTGTGTGTGTGTGTGTGTATGTGTGTGTGTACTGTGCTCCTATTTTTGGACAAGGAATCTATTAGAATCTTGTAGCACCTGGTAAAACTCCTTAGAAATGTACTCGTAAATGTCACGCACTATAATGAGCATTACATCATACACATATAACCCCTGAGTACAGTATATATATTATTTGGTCTTTATTGTACAGTCTGCGTCGACCTTCAGAGTGCCGTGGCTTGTAATTTTAGCCGTTTCACCTTACCCATCAACCAACCCATGTCGCCTTTAATAATCAATACTCACCTATCATTATGACCGATATATCTGATACAACCTTTAATGTAGTCAATATAAAATTACCCCCAAAAAAAAAAAGAAGTCAGTCATCAGAGCTATTACTTGAAGTTCGCGAATTCGTCAATCAAATGCAACTATTATACCTGACTCTCTGAAGTTCAACTCATTTTTACTATCTTATTCCTCATTAATTATCCATTATATCGGCAGTATCTCACCCCTACCAAGATGTCTTTAATGTTCCGTGTATAACTCCACTTTACAGCGCGTTTTGTAATTCATTGGGTTGGGTAGGAAGGCGTTTCTTTATTGTGAAGTCAGGGTGATGGGTATTCTTATCTGTGGCAGGTCCGTAAGGGTTTTGATGGTGAGGAAAATATTATCTTATTTTATGGACTCCCGCCAACCCCCCCCCCCTACCCCGAGGCCAAATCCCAAAAATTTCGCCTGCGGGACATTACTTGGGTGCATGCGCATTTTGCGCAGTTCCGTACCAAATTTCAGCTCTCTTAAAAACTGTAGCCGTGCATAGCGAACAGACAGACATACATTGTGCTTCTCTATACTCTATGACATGAGACACAGGTTGTGGACCAATTCCTCGACAACTTGAGAGTTAAAGTTTGACTAAAGGAAATGAGAAAACCGTTGACAATATATATATATATATATATATATATATATATATATATATATATATATATATATATATATATATATATATATATATATATATATATACTGAGAAACTCTGGTGAACCAAAGGAAAACAAAAAGTGTTTGTGTGTGAGTTCAACCGAGTTAAAAATACTTCATACTATACTGGGCGTGCCTTGGGGGGGGGGGGTGCATTGCAAATCTGGGTTAATGGAATTCTCGTGTACAATGTGGTATTTTTCCACATCATTGCCCTCTTAGTAATTTTGTCAGGAGTAACCTTCATCCTCGGTCGAAATTTATTTTCTTTTTCTTTTTTACTTTCGCGGTAAACACAAAGACGAGGCGGAGAGAAATGTTATATAAATGCGACGTAGAGTTGTCATAAGGATCCGAAAATTATATAATATATATATATATATATATATATATATATATATATATATATATATATATATATATATATATATATATATATATATATATGTATATATATATATATGCAAGTAAATCACTGTAGGTGCGCGTGATCTAATATATGATAATATGAAAGAAGAAAAACACGAAGTTTTTTCTTCTTCCTTAATCAGCATATATATATATATATATATATATATATATATATATATATATATATATATATATATATGAGTGAAAACCAACTAAATGTGGCAGTCCTCGGGACCGTCCCCAGCCCTTATATACAGCAACAAGGAGTTTTCCAGTCTCCTCCCAGCACCATTACTATCCCGGGGATATTCGGCTACTGGTGGGACAATGGACAGCCTCTCTTTGTGTTACCATGGTCTACATGTTGCACCGTTGGGATGATGTTTTTGTCGCATTAAACTGATCGTTTATAATAAACTACATACAATACTGTACGGTACACCAGCTTCAGGATTTCAGTCCATTTTCATTAAAGTATGACCGCCACGCAACTCTGTCTATACAGCCTAACCTACAGTGTGTGTGTGTGTGTGTGTGTGTGTGTGTGTGTGTGTGTGTGTGTGTTCCTTACGTATTTCCACAGTTTTGAAGAAAGAGCAGAAATTTGAGAGGGGGGTTCGGGTAACTCACCCAGTACCTAATAAGACATTCTTGTCATTACCCTTACTGTGTGACACCACCACTTATCTGTCTGTGTGACATCACCACTTAACTGTTTGTGTGACACCACCACTTAACTGTCTGTGTGACACCACCACTTAACTGTTTATGTAACACCACCACCACTCAACTGACTTTGTGACACCACCACAGACCTGACTGTGACACCACCACTAAACTGACTATGTGACACCACCACTCAACTGACTGTGTGACACTACCACTCAACTGACTGTATGATACCACCACTTACCTGAATGAGTAACACCACCACAGACCTGACTGACACCACCACTCACCTGGCTGTATGACACCACCACTCACCTGACTGTGTGACACCGATGCTCACCAGACTGTGTGACATCATCACTATACTCAAGGATGGCCTGAAGTGGTTGTGATTGGGAGGGGGGGGAGGTTACCAACTCGCCACTCAGCCTATCAAATTTGATCTTCTATTTTTTTTACGGGGACTAGCCCACCCGGGCATAGGTCACTGACCCACAACGGGGCCTGGGGGGTGAAGAAAATAAGAGTAAAGAGAAATTAAAAATAGAAAAGAAAAAGATTATATTAATCTACACCACGACGATGCCGGAAGGCCAGCTTTTTGAAGCGAGACATTGTATGAGTATGGAAACACAGAAGAAGGCAGAGCATTCCACAGTTTGGCTGTGCGAGGAAAGAAGGATGCACTATAACGGGTTATTCTAGTGTGACCGACATCCACAGAAAAGGTGGGCACCGCGGGCAAGACGTGTGTTACGAGCCCACGGCCTTGCCGGCGGTACACAGGATGCCAAATCCACCGAACATTGCCCGTTAAAGTACCTGTAAAAGAGAGAGAGTGAAGCAACATTGCGACGAAGAGAAAGGGAAGAAAGATTTTCAACTGAAGGATGAGAGTTAAAAAGACGAAATGCCTTTGATTCCACCCTATCTAACAGTTGGACAGAAGAAGAGCCACCCCAGATATGAGAGCAGTACTCCAAGTTAGGACGAATGAATCCCTTATATACTTGAATCAACTGCTCAGGAGTGAGGTAGCTACGGCATCTGTACAGCATTCCCAGCTTTTGGGAGGCAGCTGTAGCGAACTACATTTTTTTATTGAATGTTTAATTATTAAACATTAGCATAGAAGTCTGTATTCAAAGAGAAAGATTTTTTTTAATCGAAATGCACCTTCAATTTGTGCCAACTTTTCCTTAAGAGCTGCATGACGACTGGTGCTACTGCTAAAACACACATAGCAAGATTCCAGTACATCAAACACATGTGTAATTAGTTCACTTGCTTTGCAGCCTTGCTCAGTCACTAAATTAGAGCCAAGAGGTTGACAGGGAATATACAATAAGTGATTGGTATCTCAAGCATATCAGATAACTTATTTGAGCACCACTGTACCTTCCGGACATTATTGCTGCACTATCATTGGTTGAAACCTAATGGTATGTGTGTCAATTTTATTTTCTGAAACAGCTTTTCATGGTTCACTAATTTACGTTCATATTTCTTTACTTCTTTCTTTATCTTACTTCTGCCATCACCATAACCGTTCAAAACACAATCCACTGTGTTACCTCTTGCTACCAGTGTGTGTGTGTGTGTGTGTGTGTGTGTGTGTGTGTGTGTGTGTGTGTGTGTTTCCTCTCTTGACCATCTCGCTGAATTTCTGAGACCATTGTGACCAACTACTGGCAACTTGACCAACTCCAGACCAAATATTGGGGAGGAGGTGACCCCCACTCCCAGTCGGACCATCCCTGACTAAACTGACTGTGTGACACCACCACTCACCTGACTGTAACTTTACCACTCAAATGACAGGTGTGACACCACCAGACTGTAACACCTTCACTCACCTGACTGACATCACCACTTAACTGACTATGTGACACCACCACTCAACTGACTGTGTGACACCACCACTCACTTGACTGTGACATTACTATAAATTTGAATAGAATGACGTAATCATTATAATAACCAAAATGTTATCACTAATTACCTGCCTGAGTTATGACGTCAGCATTGTGGTGTAGAGGTGTGGGGACAAGTGATTATAGTGATCGCCTCCTGTCCTCCCGGTAATTGGTTCGAGCCACATGGCACCACTAGTCCACTAAACTGTGAATGGGGACCAAGCCTTACAGGTGGGAAGGAGAACGTGGTTGACTCACTTCAATTAGATGTTACCTCACCACTTATGTCTCCACTCACCTAAGGGAAATGAGACGTCTTCCTTCACCTACAGTAACTGAAAGCTTTTGTTAAACCACCAATGTATGTAATGAGTCATTTATATCCAATGTATATTTTCAGCCTTCGGACTGCAGAACTGTTTCAATAAACCGTTAATTATTATTATTGTTATTATCATGTATGGTGGCACCACACCTGACCGAGCTGTAACGTCACCAGTCACGTAACTGATGTGACGTCATCACTTACCTTTTTGTAGTATAACGTCATCACTAACACGGCTGAGGTATGACGTCATCATTCACCTAAGGTGTGCCGTCAACACTCACCTAACTGAGGTATGACGTCAGGGTTGTCCTCGTGGGTGGTGTTGGAGGCGAGGCCCTGCAGCCTGGTGTCCTCCACCTGGGTGATACAGACGGAGAGGCCCTTATCTTTTACTCGGTCGTCCCCATGAGCAACATGACGCCCACGCCTGACCACGACGCAGACGATGAGGAGAACCAGCAGGAGGCCGCCCGCCACGCCCACCATCACCGCTGTCACAGGCTTCACTAGTGCCACCTCTATCCCCTCCCCCACTGTTGGTGATGGCTTTACTGCCGCTGGTGAAGAGGAAGGTTATGGTGAGGGGAAAGTTAAGGGGGTCGGGTGAGAGGGAAGTGACGAAAGTAGTGAAAGTTATGCTGTCAAAAAGAAAGAAAGAAGGTAAAAATAGGAGTGATGACAAAAGTGAAAATAGGGCAGAGAGAAAGAAGGTGAAAGCTATGAAGTGAAAGGAACTCAAGTAACGCAGTAATGGAGGAGAAAAAGCGTAATAGTGATAAAGGAAGTGAAAGTAAGAATTAGTGTATAACAAGATAAATGTATAATATCCGTAAATCACTAAAGAAGACAAGACACACAGTAACAAAAACATGGAAAAGTATAGATAGACAACTTAAATAGACAGACAGACAAACAGACTATCTAGTAAGACCTAATGGAAGGGGAAAGTAAGATAGAGAAACGGTGGACGATTGACAAGAAGAAAAATACGCAAGGAATGATGTAGGGGAGAGAGATAATTACAGAGAAGGGGAGGAATGGGAAAATAAATATGACATAGAGAGAGAGAGAGAGAGATGGGCAGATATGATGCTGGACTACAAGTACTATTCAATTTCTCTTACCCTGAGATTTCACTGAATTTTCATACCTTTTGTCATTTATCTGAATTATTTACTTATTTCTCTTTGCGAATTCCCCGTTTCTATAAAAAAATTATGATTTTTTTCTTAATTTTTAGTAACTTTTGGCTGTATATTAAATTACACCTCAATTTTGACGTAATATCCCTATGTTTACCCTGAATTTTTCCCTGAGATTTAATTGAATTTACCAGAGGACGCTGAACAATGATCATAGATTATCCACATTAATTTTAACCGACTATTGCTGCAGAGTACCAAGGGCAGCAGCCTAGTAGTTTCAGTAACTGTTCGTAACATAAAAAGAATGAGTAAGGATGCTTTTGGTTATGTTAAGTCAGGTTAGGTTAGTTAAATCAGGTTAGGTTAGGTTAGGCATTTTAGTTTAAGTCATGTTAGGTTAGATTAAGTCAGGTTTGATTAGATTAAATCAGGTAATTTGAGTTAAGTTAGATTAAATGAAGTCCGGTTTGGTTAGATTAAGTCAGATCTGGTTAGATCGTCAGGTTAGGCTAGGTTAAGTCAACTTGATTACCGAAGATAAATTAAGTTAATTAGGGATAAGTTACCTTAGGTCTCACTTAGGTTAGGTTAGGCTAAGTTAAATTAGATAAATTCAGATCAGTTAACCTTAGTGTTTAGTGTGGAAGAGGAAACTCAGCTGACCATCACGTCTTCATCTTATTAATAACATCACTTCAAGAGGCTCTTACGTTACCTACCAGCCTCTGTGTTCCCGGGATTTTGGACAATAAACTCCCCGCAGTAGTTATTTCACCAGTGTACCGAAAGTTAAACTCATATACAAAGGTTACCACACATTTACAATAAGCTGTCATGTATGGGACTTACAGTTTCACATTGGTTTTATTACCTTGCCTTGAGTACTGTTTCGATGTGGTCTTCTGAATCTCACTGCTGATTAGATTGACCTTCGGCATCGACGTATTCTTGGTGGTACACTGTCTTTACTTTATATAATTTAAATGAACCTTAGATATCCCTTGTTCCCGTGTACCTTTTAGCCTTATCGTCCCCCTAGGATCATCAGATAGTGTATGATCATAACTCTTCTCCAAGCAGGTATCAGACAACACATGTTTTGTTTTTCTCCAGATGTTTGTTGCCTTCCACAGTTGTTATGTAGAATTTTCTCCCCAACACCGCGATTTAGGGTGATTTCTTAGAGGGATTAAAGAATAAATATGTATCTGTTAGTCCTCTGTAATTTTTAGTTCTTTATGTGTTGCGTCACCTATTTTTCTGATCTTTAGTGAATGTACTTTTCATGTTGGGGTTTAAGACAATGCTCATAATTATAGGTTAGGTTAAGTTAAGTTATTCTAGGTTAAGTTAAGTTATTCTAGGTTAGGTTTAGTAAAATAAGTTTAGATTAGGTTACGTTTTGCTAAAGTTAATCTAGATTAGATTTGGTAAAGTTAGTCTAGGTTAGGTAAAGTTAGATTAGTTTAGTGTAACGTACATTAGGTTAAGTAAGGTTAGGTTAGCTCGAGTAAAACTACACTTGTAGTTCACAGTAGACAGACAACGAGTATTATCTCTATAATAAAAATATGAATGCAAATACGACCTACGAAGACGTGAAAATTTCTTATAAGCAAAAATAAATACTTTTCTTTTCTAGTTAAACTTACATAGATTTTGTCAATGGTTCCACTTTCTCCAGGTTTTTAAATTCTCCCCTAATTTCCTCTTTCCTGCAAAATATTGAAAAATCCCTGACATTCCCAAACTCAGAACATTAAGGTATTTATTCAGATATATTCACATGCTCGGAAAAAAACTAGACAATTCTTTCTTTCTCTTCAAATGTTCCATTCGTTGTGAATTGTTTAAGAGAAAGATCTCCCTTTTTTTTCTTTTTTGGGCGACTTTTGAAAATCGGCTGAGATTCCCAGGTTTTCCGGAAGAGTGGCCGGCCTCTGATGGGAGTGAATGGGGTAGAAAATGGGGAAGAAGAGCAGGCATGGAATGGGGAAAAAGGGAAACTTCTGATGGCTATAAATAAAAGATGAATACGGATACAAAAACATAAAAAAATACTAACAGAATAAAAGAAAAGGCTGAGTAAAATGAGGAATTGATAAAGTGAGAGAAAAGGTAAAATATAGAAAATAATAATGAACTAAAGAAAGAGGAACTAAATCAGATGGAGGCTAATAATTGTAATAAGTGAAAAGGAAGACCTGAGAGTAAAAGGGAGTGAGAGAAAATAGAATAAAAAGAGGGATTGAGAGGGAAGACGACACGGAGGTAATTATAGCACCCACTCTTGCCTGCAGTACACATTAACTTCCAATAAAGACAAATGTTCACAGATGCAAAATGAATATTCAGATATACATAAAGTCAATACAAGTAGATATTTAGGAACAGGGCAAGTGTAGGTTTAGGTACAAGACAGGTTTAGAGACCAGTGCAGTACAGTCCAGGTTATAAGGAACAAGGACCGTCTTTGGTACAGTGATAAACTAGAAAGAGAGGAAAGACTTACCCATGCGCCTCTCTGGCAGGTCCTTCGTGGTGGAGGCGCTGATGGGGACTTCCTCACTCCGGCCCTTGTTGTTGTAGGAGTACACGACGCCCTCCATCGTCACTCCCGCCACCAACCCCACCACCAAGAACACTGGCACCTGCACCCCCAGGAAATCCATCTCTTTACTTATGTTTCATACACATATACACATTGGATACATGTGTTTGTAAATGATTCATACATATATATGTTACTCTTGTTTGTAAAGCATAAATGTATCTGCGGAACATGTATATATAACATAAGTATATAACGCACATATGTGATGGTAAAACAGTGCCAGGATTTTAATTAAATTCCTGACAGGTAGACTGGCAGGTGTGATTATAGTACCCATCCCATCCAGGTATGTATGAAATTCCCTAAAATCACATTCCCGATTTTCTCGTTGAATGGCACCAGAAAATGTACGATATTCGCGGGAAGAAACTACTGATTTTGATCTTTATGCAGAATATATTATAAACGTTGATAATACAATACGTAAACACATTATTTATATTATTGTTCGAAGATTTCTCTATGTTGTACGTGTTTGATATAGCAGTTGTTATGGGAGCTGTTTGATGTGGCAGTTGTTGTGGGAGCTGTTTGATGTGGCAGTTGTTGTGGGAGCTGTTTGATATAGCAGTTGTTATGGGAGCTGTTTGATGTGGCAGTTGTTATGGGAGCTGTTTGATGTGGCAGTTGTTATGGGAGCTGTTTGATGTGGCAGTTGTTGTGGGAGCTGTTTGATATAGCAGTTGTTATGGGAGCTGTTTGATGTAGCAGTTATTTGTAGGAGCTGATGGCAGGTTGTTATGGGGCTGTTTGATGTGGCAGTTGTTGAGGGATCTGTTTGATGTGGCAGTTGTTGTGGGAGTCGTTTGATGTGGCAGTTGTTATGGGAGCTGTTTGATGTGGCAGTTGTTGTGGGAGCTGTTTGATGTGGCAGTTGTTATGGGAGCTGTTTGATGTGTCAGTTATTGTGGGAGCTGTTTGATGTGGCAGTTGTTGTGGGAGCTGTTTGATGTGGCAGTTGTTATGGGAGCTGTTTGATGTGTCAGTTATTGTGGGAGCTGTTTGATGTGGCAGTTGTTGTGGGAGCTGTTTGATGTGGCAGCACAGGGGAGCTGTTTGATGGCAGTTGTTGTGGGAGCCAAGCGATGTGGCAGTTGTGTGGGAGCTGTTTGATGTGGCAGTTGTTGTGGGAGCTGTTTGATGTGGCAGTTGTTATGGGAGCTGTTTGATGTGTCAGTTATTGTGGGAGCTGTTTGATGTGGCAGTTGTTGTGGGAGCTGTTTGATGTGGCAGTTGTTGTGGGAGCTGTTTGATCTACTGAAGGACGAACGATTTCTCACTTGGTTTACTGTGTCGTTGTAAGTCATACCTGTGGCCGCAACATGAACTATAATAGGCTCGAGGATACCGGTACCTTGGATTGTCAGCAACATTAAAATGGTAACTCAGAGTACAGTCCTTACCCATGACACTTATTTTATTGTTAAACCTTTACTACAGTATATGTAATTGTACACAATACTATATTAGTTAATTTTGATGCATTTTCTCTGTTGGGGAACTCGGCGTTTTTCATTAATAAGTCTCCAGGGTTTTATCACGCTACGCTTTCCAAGAATCGCCTGTAACTGGTAAATAAAGAGCTTTAATGGACCTTCTCTGTACACGAATAGGCTTATTTTTAATCTCTTTATCTCTTATGCAACTTTTTTCTATTTTTCTCATCTCGCTGTGTCAACACCTTTCGAAATCTATAATCATATTAAGATCTGTCGAACTTTTTTGAAGATGTAGCACAAAAGGCAGAAAGCTGTGACATAATTTTTGCACAAGCATTCTCAAATATATTGATTTGGGATTGAAAAAATTTAATACAATGAGCATTATCTCGTTTATATATATATATATATATATATATATATATATATATATATATATATTAAACCCTTTGTGCATCATGCGTCCAGCTACACAAGGATCTGTGAGGTCCTCCCTCCCCTAAAATATGTATTACATAACTAACATTTACGAACACAAAACACAGTAACGAAGTATTTCATAAAACCGTAGGAAGCGTTAACAATAACTCGATGACTACAGTCAACTCACAAAACATTAGACCAAGTAAGGCAACATTTAACATGTAACATTAACATCCTGAGAAATTTCTCATTATTTTCAATAGTTCTCGTTTCCTCTCTTAACTTTCCTCTCTATAAAACCCAAACTCCCTCCTTTATCATCCACCAATTATCTTCCGCCGATCAACGCCTATCAACAGCAACTTTATTCCAGCTGCCGATTCTGATCATCCGTCAGTCAGGGTAGAGCAGCTGCCTGGTCAACGTGACCTCTGTGTGGCATTTAAATCTTCCTTCCAATATATAGACAGACCGAACGGTGCAGCTGTCAGTGATCACCAGTTGAGAGGTAGTGAGTTGTGTGCCTGCCGCCCTAAATATCTGAGGTCCTATGATCCTCTGCCGTCTGCCCCTCACACCAACATCAGTTCTTCACGACCTTATACACTACTCGCTCAGGTATAGCCAGATAACATGTAACAGGTATACCAGCGAGTTTCTGATAGTGACTGCATTAACAAGTGTTAAATCAATGTTTTATATGATCAGTGAACCTACCCGGGGGATGAATCTACTCGGTTTAAGTTTCATCAAAAAGACATCTGGTGAGAAAGATGAAGTACGGAAGTAATGATCATGCAGAAGTAAGGTGTAATATCAGGAAGAAACAGTGAGAAACGAAATTCCATTAGAGTTCAGATATTGCCGATATTCGTAGATTGGATTATTATGGATTAAGACGATACTCAGGGGAGGAGAGGTTGCCGGGTTAAACATAAAAGGGGACTTGACTCCAGGGACTAAACATAACCTCATCAAGAGTATTGATTGCGCAAGAGGTCACGACCTCAGACAAAGACCTGGTAAAGATACTACGGAAGATACAGAGTAAGTTATCATATTTACAATAGTGCTGTACACGATGCTCATGAATTCAATATATCACATAGACATAGTGAATTAAAATCGAATGAATAATTGATTAAAAATCTTCATTGGGCAGAAAAAATGGTACACAATACATATGGAGACTTTCACCCACAAAATGGTGTCAATGAATAAACAATAAGTGTCGAGAAATATATTGAGAGAAGCAAAGAGGAGTGAGGAGGGGTCACAGTAGCCGGGGATGCTAAGAGAGTTTTCCGAAAATATCAAACAAACACTGAGTCACTAAAGATAGATTTATATCACGTTACTGATGATAAAGGGGAAATGAGCAGAGGGGATATATTTCCCGACGTAACTACTAGCTATTGACTGAATAAATCAACAGTTGACAGAAGTGAGGCGTGAGCATGACAGTTTTTCAAGATAACCAACAAGGTGAAGTCATATAACAAACCCTGAGTCATTACTCGTCTAAAAGTGATGATGAGAAAGACATAAACATTTTAAAGGAAAAACAGCATAGGCGGGCGAAGGGACTTTACGCTCTGAGATCAGGAGACAAGAAAGTCACAACAAACTAAGGAAACAGGGATTTTATGTTTACAAAATGAGTATTGTACAAGTGCCATTCACAATAGATTTAGTGGAAAAAAAATCTACTTTGAAAGTGTCAAACCTAGAAAGGGATGAAAGCAACAATATTACCATGCCAATCATCCCCCCTTCTACCCCAGATCACAGGCTTACCAAGAACTTAGGAACATTATGTGTAGCAAAGTCTCTCGGCCTGTTGTTGTACCCAGGACAACTATCAGGTCGCTTACGATATTAAAGTTCCTCCTACAAATATCTTTAATGGTTCATTAACCTCAGGTATCTTCCCAGGTATATGGTAACGAGCCAGGATAATACCCCTGGTTAAAAGTCCCCGTGATAATTGAACTTGATCATCTCCATCCAGTGTCCTCTACCGCTGAACCCTGAAAAAATATTCAGGGAAAAATATAGTTGAATGAGTTTTGAAACAAAATAACGCGAGAAGAAGCTAAACGTTACGCTGCCTTGTTTACCTCATCAACCAGATAACTATATAGATATTTACGGATATTACCAAGCTGTTATCTTATCTCTAGTTAATTTAAGAAAGCGACTGCATGTGGACCACACTCTAGCACTCTATCAAGTATAAAAAGGTATCATTCGTCTTGACTCTTCTAAAAAAAAAAAAAAATCCTCAGAATGACACCACAGAATCTGACACCATAATATGTAACGAGATAGTGACCTCAGTGAGTGCCATAAAGTACCCCCACTCGGCCCATTTAAGTTTAGCCATGAACAATGAACCAGAAATGCAACCATCTCCATCAGAAACTAGTAGATGATGTTATTGTTCTTGAGTGGCCCCAGAACTATTCCAAACTTTGACTCTAAAATGCAATAGACTTTTGTCGAACTTGGATGGAGGATTAACATGTACTCTTGATCCTAAACCCGAGATTATGAAGTTTGTGTTCACTTGTTGACTGAAGGTAACAAGAGAACCCCTAAGACTGAAGGTAACAATAGAACCCCTAAGACTGAAGGTAACAAGAGAACCCCTAAGACTGAAGGTAACAAGAGAACCCCTAAGACTGACGGTAACAAGAGAACCCCTAAGACTGAAGGTAACAAGAGAACCCCTAAGACTGAAGGTAACAATAGAACCCCTAAGACTGAAGATAACAAGAGAACCCCTAAGACTAAACACAACAAGAGAATCATTAAGACTGAAGACAACAAGAGAGCCATTAAGACTGAAGACAAGAAGAGAACCCCTAAGACTGAAGACAACGAAAAGAGGCCCTATCCTTTAACTCTGTACCAGGTTAAGTTATCAGGTTTAACCTTATAGAACCGATCATGTTAAAGATACAGCTAGTAAAGCGGCGAGAGCAGCATCCATCACGTACTACGGTAAACAGATCAGATTATCAAGAAAGACATTAATTATATATGTGTTGTATAAGGTCATATATAGAGTATTAGATTCCCTATAATGTACAGGACACTATTACCAGAATCCTCTTTAAACTTCGACAATTAGAGAAAATCAATAGAGAACAAGGAGTCAAACTAGAGCCAACATTATGAGGGACACCTTGACTTTAGTTACTAAGAAGCAAATGATAAGAAGATATAACAAAATATGTACAACAACCAAAGAATTATTGAAGAACAGAAAAAAAATTGAAAGCTGAAAATAATCCACGAGGAAAAATCTTAAGAATGTGAACTTTTTTGTTAACTGTACGAGAACAACTCTAGTAAGATGTACTGACTTTTGTAAGAAAAACAATGAAAAATATTCACTCTACCAAAGACAAAAAAAAACTAATTTCTTTAAATAAAATTCATTCTGTAGCTGCCAGACAAAAGCTGGAAACGTAATAAGAAACAAGAATTGCATTATCAAAATTACTGAAGAAGGTAATAAGACCTGAAGACCTGCACAAGGAACACCGTGAGAGATAATGGCCGAGGCAGGAGGAAGAGCTGAGGACACGCGGTAAGAGGCTAATAACGTACCCCAGAGCGATATTTTTCACTTCTCGGGCCACCAACAGATATAAGACGATAGAATAGCACCACGCGATGAAGAATCACTCGGTATTGTAAAACTAAAAAAAAAAAAATACAAAGTTGTTCACAAAATGTGTTAAAGAAAGAAAAGAACCACAGCTGAAATAGTGATATTGTCAAACTTTTCCTCAGATAAAGAGACAATGAAGACTAAAAACTTTTGACCATTTACCATTTGCATATAAACTCGTTATGAATATTTTTCCCAAGAAACTTCCAACATGACTCATTTTCAATCAAGGAAGAGAACAAACCGGGCGTAAAAGTAGTTACAGCACCATACGTCATCTGGCTATAAGCTATTCAGAAAGTTTTCTAAAGTTCCAGTGAATTTGAAGTACCAGTATAGGTTTGGGCTAACTGGTAACGAAAAGATTTTTGGGTTAAATATAATTATTAAAAAAAATAAGAGCATCAGACGCAGCAGCCAAAAACCTGACTATAAAACTTGCACAAAATAACCCCCCAAAATAAATTGAGCATTTGAGTAAATTCTTAATAATACTCATCAGGTCAAAAAACAAACGCTTACATAAGCCAGTAACGTAAAATAAGAGGAAGCACTACTGTACCTATGGAGTAGTGCAGCACCGCGTGAAAACAGTTAAATTAAATTAAGAGAGGAACTAAAACAGGCTGCAGTGCCTGAATACAAACAATATTGACAAGTGGAAGTGAAACACAGCGAGCAACTGTAAAAATAATACACAAACTTTAAGATGCTTAAAGAAACAGTTAAAATTATATACTATACTGTACTGCGTAACATACAGTGAGAGGAAAATAAATAGAGTGAAATCCTAAGATCTGAAGTAATGACAGGGAGTGGTGAGGTCACAGTGTAAGAGGTACACGTGACGTATACGTATAGAGAAACACCACTTATTGTCTTACTCGACTCGGAGTGACAACAAAGTAGTAGGATATATACTGTAAAATCAAGATATATGGAAGCTCACTGGGCAGGAAAGCAGTCTGTATCAATCTGCTGTTCAATGAAGGTCTGTCCCATCAACCCCCACAGTGATATTTTTAACCTTTCTCATCCAGTCGCTACTGTCCTCACAAAGCTACTTCAATGACTTCAATGTACCGGTATTGTGACAAACAAATTTGTAATTACATTTATATAAAATCACTTTCCTCTACCAGTTGCTCTAAATATTTACTTGGTAAATGCCATGAATTCCTATAATTTTGAAATGCCAACCTCTGTTGAGAGAGTCTGTGAACTTACTAAAAATTAACGCCATTCAAATATATTTTTTAATTCCACCCTTTAACTTCCAAAATTCAGATCATATTTTCGTGTTAACAATAATGGTGTCGTCAACAAAAATGAAAGTGATTTAAGCAGACGCCACTGATATAAAAACCCTCTTCTTTCCACATAGGGATTTGAAATCTTTTGACAATACTGGTGTAAAGTGCTTTACCTAAATGGTATCACCTTGGAGTACTTCTCTTTGAGTTTCATCTCCTTTCACTAACTGTGTAGCCTGAGTATTGAAATAACGTTCCCTTTTACGTTATCAAAGGTGGCATTATAAATCACTGTAACACCCCCGGTCCCTCAGAATTTATATAACAAAATACCATTCGTATTGCATCAAAGGGCTTGTTATATAGAAATAAACCTTAACATACTATTACTTTACATTCAGTGTGTGTGTGTGTGTGTGTAATACTTCCTGGTCAACACACAACTGACAAGTAGTAATGACTTTACTACTTCTAATTCTGTTTTGAGTCTGTTTGTTTGTATCTTTGTTAGGTTAAATTTTATAATGGTAAAAAGTAAATTGTATATTTTCTAATTTGTGTTTTAACAATGAGATCTTGGTCTGTGCTTGGTTTTGGAGGTCTATTATTTTATATCTTATTCCTTAATATGGGCAACTCAGGTGACTATATGTGAAACACTTTTTTCCAGAGTTTCACAAAACTATTTTTTCTTGGATCTTTTCACGTTTCATTTATTCGATACATTTTCGATAGTTTCACTTGTTTTATAATCCCTCTTTACCACTTAATTGCCTGTGGCTGAGATGCTGTTTAACTTAATGTGTTTCTTTACATATCGGTTAACTTCGTTTGTCAGAATTCTCAACAACGTTTCTTATTGCTCTAAGTCTGTTCCTTACTTCAACTGTAAATTTGGGCTGAGGTCATTCGTAGACGTTTTAAATCTATTGAAGGTTTCTCCTTAACACGATTTTACTATGATGAAACGGGTATCTAGTTATATACACACACACACACACACACACACATATATATATATATATATATATATATATATATATATATATATATATATATATATATATATATATATATATATATATATATATATATATATATATATATATATGTGTGTGTGTGTGTGTGTGTGTTCCCAACCTCCCTCGTTTCTAGTGCGTCCTTCATCCAATTCTTTTATCTTCTTGGTCTTCCCCTCTCCCTCCTGCCGTCCATCTTTGTATTGTACATCGTTTTTTACCAATTTATCAGTCCCCATTCTTTCAATACCAATGCCACCTGCGCACACCCTGATCCACTCTGTCCCACACTTATTTATCCTGTATATTTCCGCCGCTTTTCCGTTGGTTCTTCTTTTTCTCTCCATCTTATTTATTCACCATTATGCTCTTAAACACATTATTTGTGTCCCTTCTAAATTTCTCTTTCATTTCGTCATCAAAGTCATGCTACCTCCCCATAACATAAGAACGTAAGAATGGAGGAAACTGCAGCGGGCCTAATTAATTAGCCCATACCAGGCAGCCCCCATTTACACCCAACCTCTATCGCTCATATATCCATCCAACCTAATGATGATGTTTGGTAACTTGTTCCATTCATACACTACTCAATTTCCAAACTAGTGTTTACCTATCTCACGCCTAAATCTAAATTTGTCTAATTTAAAACCATTGCTACGAGTTCGCTCCTGGTTAGTTAGCTTGAGTACCTTTGTTATATCGCCTTTGTTTAACCCTGACTTCCATTTATACACTTCGATCATATCGGTGACCAGAATTGAACCGTGTAATCCAAGTGAGGTCTCACAAACGCAAGATACAGTTTTAGGATAACCTCGCTAGTCTTGTAACTAACACTCCTTTGTATGAACCCAAGTACTTTGTTAGCCTGGTCTCGAGCAAAAACGCATTGTTGTCTTGGTTTAAGATTCCTACTTATCATTACTCCTGCATCTTTTTCACAGTCGGATCTCTCTTCAACAACGTTGTTCATTTGATATCTGGTTTCTCTGTTTACATCTCCTAGACTAAGTACTTTATATTTGTCCACATTAAATTTCATCTGGTATTTTTCAGACCATGCAAAAAATTTGTTTAGATCTTCCTGTAGTTTTGTGGAGTCCTCGTCAGATTTAATTACACTCCTTATTTTAGTGTCTTCAGCAATTTACTTATGGTGCTGTCTACGCCTATATCTATGTCTATGCCACATTTCTCACACCATCTGTCGCTTTCTTTCTATCTACTCTTCTGTGACCCAAACTATAATTTATTTTTCCGTTTACTGATACATTCACTCTAACTGCCTATATTACTCACTTTAGTTTCGTTTATATTCACTATCACCTTATACTTATCCTACGCACTAGCTTTCATGTTTGTCTACTAATACTCCAAACTTTTTTTTTCTGATACCTATAAACAACATATTCACCACCTTCCATTGATATCCTCACTTAAACACACACACACACACACACACCTGACAGACTTACCGTGTTGGTAGTGTTAGCCAGCAGACGGTCGTGGCCAATATCGTACAGCTCCAGTACAAAAGTTTGAGGTAGCCCGCCGTCGAATCCCGCCACACATTGTATGCTCACCCACGTCGTCGACACGTTGTTCACCGAGCAGTTGTGCACGGGGTCAGGGTGGTCTGGTAGTGACACACACACACACACATGAGGTTAGGGTCTTATGGCGATAGAGGGTTATACTTGTTTTGTACATAGCTGAACACTTCACACACACACACACACACACAGACCCATAAGTCGTACACTCCACACATTCACCATATCAATAACTTAACCTATTCTAAGCTGACGAAAACCTCATCTAACCTAACCCAACATTAAGCTAGCCCAACCTATTCTAAATTAAACCGACCATACCAAGCCTATCCAAACCTAAGGTAAATGAACCCAGCTAACCTAACCCAAACTAATATAACCTGACTTAACCCACACCAATCAAAGTTAAACAACATTAACCCGAATCGATATTACTTCACCCAATATAACGTAAACAAACCTAATCTAGTCCAACATAACTCAACATAACCAAAGGTAATCTAACCTAATTCAACCGCACCAAACATACAGTAAACATGCCAGTAATGTGCACGGGGTCTGGGTAATGTGATGGTGAGACACGGGGTCAGGGTAATGTGATGGTGGTGAGACACAGGGTCATGGTAATGTGGTGGCGGTGGAGAGGCACACGGGGTCAGTGTTGTAATGTGGTGGTGGTGGTGGTGGTGGTGGTGAGACACACGGGGTCAGGATAATGTGGTGGTGGTGAGACACGGGGTCATGATAATGTGGTGGTGATGAGACACGGGGTCATGATAATATGGTGGTGGTGAGACACGGGGGGTCATGGTAATGTGGTGGCGGTGGAGAGGCACACGGGGTCAGTGTTGTAATGTGGTGGTGGTGGTGAGACACACGGGGTCAGGATAATGTGGTGGTGGTGAGACACGAGGTCATGATAATGTGGTGGTGGTGAGACACGAGGTCATAATGTGGTGGTGGTGAGACAGGGGTCATGATAATGTGGTGGTGGTGAGACACGTGGTCATGATAATGTGGTGGTGGTGAGACACGAGGTCATTATAATGTGGTGGTGGCGAGACACGGGGTCATGATAATGTGGTGGTGATGAGACACGAGGTCATGATAATGTGGTGGTGGTGAGACACGAGGTCATTATAATGTGGTGGTGGTGAGACACGGGGTCATGTTAATGTGGTGGCGGTGGAGAGGCACACGGGGTCAGGGTAATGTGGTGGTGGGAGTGGTGAGACACACGGGATCAGGATAATGTGGTAGTGGTGAGACACACGGGGTCTAGGTGATCACATACTTAAGAGGCACCATCCTGGGTTGAATATTTACCACACGGCTTATCATCATATAATTGAGGAGCCATGAGAGTGTACTCACCTGTAGGGAACACAAGTAAGACACAGGGATGTACTCACCAGCAGGGAACACAAGTAAGACACACGGATGTACTCACCAGCAGGGAACACAAGTAAGACACATGGATGTACTCACCAGCAGGGAACACAAGTAAGACACAGGGATGTACTCACCAGCAGGGAACACAAGTAAGACACAGGGATGTACTCACCAGCAGGGAACACAAGTAAGACACAGGATGGATGTACTCACCAGCAGGGAACACAAGTAAGACACAGGATGTACTCACCAGCAGGGAACACAAGTAAGACACAGGCATGTACTCACCAGCAGGGAACACAAGTAAGACACAGGGATGTACTCACCAGCAGGGAACACAAGTAAGACACAGGGATGTACTCACCTGCAGGGAACACAAGTATGACACAGGGATGTACTCACCAGCAGGGAACACAAGTAAGACACATGGATGTACTCACCAGCAGGGAACACAAGTAAGACACATGGATGTACTCACCTGCAGGGAACACAAGTAAGACACTCACCAGGGTAAGACACAGGATGTACTCACCTGCAGGGAACACAAGTAAGACACAGGGACTGTACACAGGTCACATGGATGTACTCACCTGCAGGAACACAAGTAAGACACAGGGATGCTCACCTGCAGGGAACACAAGTAAGGGATGTACTCACCTGCAGGGAACACAAGTAAGACACATGGATGTACTCACCTGCAGGGAACACAAGTAAGACACAGGGATGTACTCACCTGCAGGGAACACAAGTAAGACACAGGGATGTACTCACCTACAGGGAACACAAGTAAGACACAGGCATGTACTCACCTGCAGGGAACACAAGTAAGACACAGGGATGTACTCACCTGCAGGGAACACAAGTACGACACAGGGATGTACTCACCTGCAGGGAACACGTGAAAGACACAGGGATGTACTCACCAGCAGGGAACACAAGTAAGACACAGGGATGTACTCACCTGCAGGGAACACGTGAAAGACACAGGGATGGTGCTGGAGGCCCACGGCGTTCACCCCCCAACACAGCAAGGTACCGTAGTCCAGCTCAGTGTTGGGCGCGTAACTCACCGTCGACATAGACTCCGTCACCCTGATGTGTTCCTGTGAGTGACACACATACACACACAGTAACTCATGTTATTGCTACCGCTGAGATGTTCTGATCAGGTCTTGCAGCGAGATTCTGTTTACGAGTCTCGTATGTGAAATCCGTTAACATCTATCAGTCATTCGTTTGCCTCACCCGCCTACTTGTTCATTCATACTGGCACAATTTGTTTTCGTCAAGGCTGTCCCCATGCGATAGCCGACATGGAGAGTGGTTTTTGGTTCCTTGCCAGACCTGCATCCACCAAGCAGATGGTGTACCGTCTCAGCCTTTTCACCAGACAGGCAGCACCGACATCCCTCTTCCGTGTGAGTCTCCATCATCTATTCCCGAATATTGATTATCGATGCTACTTTACGGGGATCAAAGTTTCTTCTAAGCCACCCATGTCACTCTTCCTCTTGTCCTCTCCAATCCTGTACTCACTCTGCCACCTTCTCCCTCTGTACTCACTCTGCCACCTTCTCCCTCTGTACTCACTCTGCCACCTTCTCCCTCTGTACTCACTCTGCCACCTTCTCCCTCTGTACTCACTCTGCCACCTTCTCCCTCTGTACTCCTCGCACACCTTCTCTGTGCAATTCCTACATTTGTTTTCCTATTACTTTCCATCCTCCACTTTATTCTCAACACGCAGTCTTCAGTACATTAGGAGACAGTGTTCCCGGCACTGTACTCGATTGTCATCTCTTCCCCAGCCGTAAAGTTAGGTACCCATCCATAGCTGTTTGGATTGGGAATCCCTCTCCCCCCACTGTTTTGTGTTGCAAACATCTCTGTGAATCGATCACTGCTGTATATTTGTGAATACGTTTGATCACAGATTCTGACCGTACGAGTTAACCCTCGTAATTTATTCTTTGAGGATACATACATACATACATACATACATACATACATACATACATACATACATACATATATACATACATACATACATACATACATACATACATACATACATGCATACATACATACATACATACATACATACATACATACATACATATATACATACATACATACATACATACATACATACATACATACATACATACATACATACATACATACATACATACATACAAGGCTAAATAAAATCTTCAAAATAAACATGTAACATTATGCAAAATAAAAGTTTTTGATGGATGTTTTAGTTTAGTAAAATCTGACTGTTGAGGGAAGAGGTTCTGTATATCTACCTGAGGGAGGTGAGTAGGGCTCTATAACCTACTTGTGGGAGATGAGGGTGTATAATTTACTTGGGGAGGTGAGGGTGTATAGTTTACTTGGGGAGATGAGGGTGTATAGTTTACTTGGGGAGATGAGGGTGTATAGTTTACTTGGGGAGGTGACTGTATAATTTACTAAGGGAGGTGAGGGTGGCATACTTGGGGAGGTGAGGTAAATTCTTTGGGGAGGTGAGGTATAATTTTGGGAGGTGAGGTGTACACCTATTGTACACTTGGGGAGGTGAGAGGGTGCATAATTTACTTGGGGAGGTGAGGTGTAATTTACTTGGGGAGGTGAGGTGTGCAATTACTTGGGGAGGTGAGGGTGTAATACTTGGGAGGTGAGGTGTATAATTTACTTGGGAGGTGAGGTATAATTTACTTGGGAGGTGAGGCATAATTCTACTTGGGAAGTGACGGTGCATAATTTACTTGGGAGGTGACTGTACTTTGGGTAGGTGAGGTGGCAATTTACTTGGGGGTGACGGTGTATAATTTAATTGGGTAGGTGACTGTATAATTCACTGAGGGAGGTGAGGGTGTATAATTTACTTGGGGAGATGAGGGTGTATAATTTACTTGGGGAGGTGACTGTATAATTTACTTAGGGAGGTGAGGGTGTATAATTTACTTGGGGAGGTGACTGTATAATTTACTTGGGGAGGTGACGGTGTATAATTTACTTGGGGAAGTGAGGGTGTATACTTTCCTGGGGAGGTGTGGGTGTATAATTTACCTGGGGAGCATGACTAGGGTGAAGTAGTTAACGTCGTGTGATCTTTACAAGGTGTGGGTGTCTCCTGCAGGAGGTGAGGGTGTTAGTGTCATTATACCTACCTGAGGAATTTCCACACTCTCGCCGCTGTTGTTGAAGGTCCAGCGGAAGGAGTGAGGGTCCGGGTAGGCGTCCACGTGACAGGGGAGGTTGACCAGCTCGAACCTAGCGGCTCCGTGGTACAACGTCCGAGGCTGACGACACACTGGCGCGTCTGCTGGGGGAAACAGTCATCAGGGGAGGAACTCCACAAACTATAGTTTTCATGTGCCAAGCGGAGGGGTTCACGGATGATAGGAGAGAGTGGACGAGAAGGAGAATTGGGTAGAAAGACAGGATGAGAGGAAAAACACATAGAGAGGAAGGGAAGGGTAGAGGAAGAAGTAAAACAATTAGGTTTATTAGAGTTAGAATCATCACAAGAAAACGATGCGAGTGTTTAGCTTAGTGTAAGTATAGATGACGGAACTATTTCAGTTTTTTAATTGATTAAGAAAAATAAAATTCCGAGAGATTTAGAGATGTGATTATAGTGAATATTTATATATACAGTATATACTTAAAGACATTCGTTGTTGAAACGCACTAATAACATTATAACAACAACAACCCCCATGTGTTGTAACACCGAAGAGTTATTAGAGGTGTGTTTCGTCGGTGTCCTACACACCTGTAATATGTCGCTGATTCTGACGAGACATAAACACAATAAAGAATGATAAAGAGAGATCAACCCTCGAGGTGTTTACCAGACGTGTCTAAGTCTGTGTTAAGGGAGGTCACTCATCATCCAGCCTTAAATCAAAGTCGCGACGATGTAAAAGTTGAGGAGAGAATGATGGAGTGTTTAGTACGGGGAGACAGAGAAGGACGTCATGTTAAAGAGAAGTAAAGCTGTAGAGGAAAGAGACGTTTATCTGGGAGCTTAAAGAGGGCGCGAGAATCATGGGAGAGAAACTTGACTTTTAGCCAAAGAAAAACCTTTTAGTTTTTTTCCACATCTCACTTTGGGTGCTGCATAAGAACCGTCGACACGGATGGTTTATTTGAGCACAATTTTTGAACTTTCAACGTGACTTTCCATGACAGTATTTAATGTTTTGATTCTCACTAATGCAATTTCTTTTTTCATTCGACAGTGTTGTTATTTTATGTGGCCCTTAATACACCCAACCCTCATGAAGACGACTAGACTGCCACTTGGCAAAACTCATTCACCTGATGCAGCTTTTTGCCATATTGATCGAAGGTCTTTTGTCAAGAATTGTTCAGTTGTCCACTTGGTCGTCTCCACACAGCGTCATTCATCTCGATAGTGATTATTTAAGAAGAATGGATTAATGATTACAATAATAGTTATCTTTGATTCCTCACCAACTTACCAACGCTAACACTGATACACACGTGACACTCATGTCTGCTTCAAACACACACACACACACACACACACATACACACACACACACACACACACACACTTCTCTCCTCTTACCAAAAGTGTCAGGAGCATCTCATATCAGCCTCATATCTGCTCTAACACTCACTTTCTCCCCGGGAACACCTTTATACTCTCCTTGTTCAGTAGTACCCGATAACAAAGTCTAAGGTTGACTGATCAATTTGGTTCTTGGTGTGGGAAATAAACTCAAAACTCGGCCATACAACTAATGTGTTTTTATTTGTCTGTAAGGTTCACACTTTACAAACTACGAATAAAACTATCTTTAACCTTATACAGTACAGATGTAATTAATGTATATGATGAATAATAGATCGTTTTTGTATAATGTATGTACGTATACTTTATTCATAGGATATTATATTATTACACAAGTTTTATCGTATGTTATCTGGATATAATAATCTCATTCAACATAAAGTAAGAAATTCAAGTATATAACCCTGATCGTGTGACTCCCTGGTAAGGATAGTTGATGGGGTTGTAAGGTCAGGAGATGATATATTATTTACTTCTGTATATATTATTTGTTCTATATGTATACTTTAGTTATAGCGTGCTGGGACACCTTCATCCGTCAAGGTCTGGTGAAAGCTATACCATACTGTGCCGCCACGCGAGTATTGGAGAGTTTAAAGTCGACTGAATGATCTGAGTCTGGACGAATATGGCTTTAGTTTAAAAATAAATTGGGACTTCAAAACACCGAATGCCTTAATCTTTCGTCTAACGTCATTGTCTTTAGCTTCAATATCTCGTATATAATTTATGACCGTACGTGAAATATTTATAGTAAGAGATTTGAATATTTTGAGGGTAAATCATAGTTATGTTTAATAATTTTCCCAGAAACGCATTATGTAGTTCGTTTAGATTTATAAATATAACCCCTTCGCCATCTGAAAGTTTACTCATGAATTAGGTAACGTATGAGGTGTAAACAGAGGGTGAGTGAGGGCCGTCACTCGCTGGGCTCCTCTCAACTCACATTTCAACAGCAACTTCCATAACAGACACTTTGACTCTTGTTAACTAACTTACCCTTACCATTAACTCCTACTCTATGGTTGAATGTATTTAACAATATAAGAGTATGTGATTATATAATAACCCCCCCCCCCCCTAATGAGATGTAGTAATTGATCCAGCGATCATTAAACTCCCCGGCGGATCGATGTGTGTGGAGATTGCTGCGTCAACCTTTGTCTCCGCTGTCGTCATGGTAACTGCAGCTTCATGCAGTTGTTCTGGACCAAACTCAAGACGATATAAGAAATTTCCGGTTCTTAGTTAATGCCTCTGTGTCTTACTACTACCAGCTTAATCTAGATATACCTCAAACACCTTTTCTAAACGCTAACTGGACCCAAATCCTTCCTAATGGCGATCACTGCTAATTAATCCTTCTTTTACGGAATAGTCAAATTCCACTCTGATATTATCTGTTATCGTCTTTTTTTTTCTTTCAGAGAGGTTATGTGTCCATTTTTCTACATATCGCGTCATTTAATAATTATTCTAGGACACTTTACCTATTTTTCATTTACTTTATCATGGGCCATTTACTGTATGTGGGTCCGACCAGCTGGATCTCTGAAGGTAAAATAATGAGCTGGTTTGTGTATTATATTATGTTGGGGTCAAGGTGTCATGGCAGTTTCAACAGTTGATAACACACATGGCGAAAGTCTGTTATTTTATTTTGTTTCTACCTTAAAAATTATACGAATCGTCAACGGTGACAGGCCCACGTACTGTACGAGACCTTCCTCCGTCAGCCTTCCATGAAGGCTACCATTCTCTCAGAGACAGTGTGGTTCCCTGGCGCTCACGGTGGAATATATAAATTTCCTCTGACATCCTCTTATCTCTCGCTTATAACATCAGCATATTTTTCATAAATCAAATCCGACCTTAACTTAAAGCTGGTGGGGTTATTGGCCATCAAGTGGTTAGAGCGAAAGAAGCAATAAAACGCCTAAAAGTTGACATATCCGTTCTTAAGTCGAAGTGCACAAGTGGATGACTCCTCAGACATCTCCCTTGTCACTTCTTGATCGTTCTGTCCTAAATGAACGACTTCATATATTCTACTCCGGCTGCCTCATAAGGCAAAGGTTCCCCGACTCTTTCTTTCGGTAAAGTGAGAATAGGAAGATAATTGTAACTTCTTGCCTGGCTTTACGAATCCAACATTTCCCTCACTTTAAGAATATCTTGTACTCCACCACGGTAGTCGTCATTATGAGCCTGTACTGTGACAAGGAGAATAAACCTGTTAGCAAAAGAAGGAGAAACTGAGAATCACAGATGCTTCAGCCTGGTCCACTACTTCGATATATTACTCGTACAATGCTGTCTTGTAGAAATAGTGATGAGGTTTTCACAAACTCTGGAATATTTTACTATGAATTCCTTTGAAGACATTGATAAACTGATCCCCCTGTATTGATGTGATCCACTACCTTAAAGTAGCCATAAAATTCTTACTATTAAACTTCACAAAAAAGTAAAGTATATTAACAGTTACTCTCAATAGGTTAGTCAAGTCATTAACTCTGATAAACATCTACTGGTAAACGACAGTTCTAAGGAATTTACAGTGTGTCCATAAATGACTACCCCGATTAAAGGATGAGAGCATACTGTTTTTAGGGTAATCATTTAGGGACACCCTGTATTTTTCAACAACTTGTACTGTGAATTATATTTGTCCAGACCAGTGGCACAGGTAAGCTTGATCATTCTGGACTTGAGAACAAATATCTGTGTTTTATTCATTTGTTTATTGATATTTCCCGAGTATGAAAGTAGCCATAGCGACGTGCATCAACTTCGCCTCAGAACTCATAATGTGGATATAAGACACACGGTTACGAACATAATCCAAATTATTATTGATGATGATCCGCTGTAACGCCACTCAGCTGTCCGGCCAGACGAGTGTCAATAAAGATGGAACGCGTTGAAGTGTCTTTAATAAATTTATTATCCCCCTGCACACACAGAGACACACACTGCCGTTAATCCTCTATCAGCGGGGTCACCCTGCCTCTGCATTTATTGGTGTATCCTTTACAGTTCAGTAAATAGGAAGCAGCTCCATTAGTTTTAGGGTGAGCATCGCAAGTGGGAGCCACTGTAACAGGCAGGTCTGGGGGAAGTTGATTTGTTCAGGCCTCAAGACTCCCCAGCCACATTTTCTCCTCTGTATCTGCTGGCAAAGGATCATCCAGTCTTAATTAAACTTCCAAACTTGTTGAACTTTTCTTCCAGTCTTGATAGTTATGGGATTAGTTCAACTTAAAACACCATATATCTCCCTCCATTATTTATCAGTTTATGCTTCGTTAGTGGTTCTTGGCAGCTCATCCCTGCACATGTACAGTACCAACCAGAGCTGTTCATTACCGCCAGGGAGAGTCTCATACATCTGATTATTTGTTCTGTATAAATCGCTAACTAATAACTGTATATTAACATTTCATAACTACACGACCCCACTGTGTGCAGAGCAGAGTTCCTGCAGATCATATACTGTTCATACAGGAACGCTTTAACTTTGTTACCAAAATTAACTTCTGTTAAATTACTGAACTGTTGTAAAGTAGCCTGAAGTAGATAACGTAAACCAGTTGTCCTACTAACACTGACTATAATCCCTCTATGAATTTTCATTGGGATATGCAATCTTTAACCTCTTCATTACAGGACGCAACATTTAATATTCTATTTGACTAACGCCACACAACTTT